AACCGAGGGCCGAGAAACCCTCACAAAGAACCTGGTGTAAGTACAGGGGCCAATACCCAGCTTAGACTCCTGGAACGGGGTTGAGCTTCACTGTCCCTTATTAGTTAATCTGCTCCCAAAAGGGGAAAAAAGGAGTCAGGGCTCAGGGGCTCAACACACCACTGTAGACAACACGATGTATCTTGACCACACAGCCTGTCTAAATTGGAGAGGGGAATAAACTTGCAAGTTCTATGAGAATGCTTCTCAACACCTCCTTTCGAAAGTTGTTGAATCCCCATACCTACTCCGATGATTTCAACAGTATCCTCAAAATTTGGTGAGTGGGTGTGACGTGGGATGGACTTATGCTTGTCGTACCCTCAGGCGCGTTCGCCTTTTTCCATCATGCTTTCACGAGTGCATCCATTCGACAGTGCTGTGTGGCCAAAGGGGGGCTGATGAATTTATTCCGCCAGCCGTCAAATTCTTTTGCCTTCCCACAGTGGTGCGGCGAGCCCCTCAATCGCCCAAAACACAGCCTACTCAACGTGAGAACCCCCTAGTTTTCTCGCCAAATTAACCACTCCCTGCCCTCTGTGGGGGAGAGGTAAGGGCCTTGCCACACCAATGTTACATGCAGCGCGTGCACACACGGGACATTTTGCAGGCCCGACGACCATTTTGCAGGCCCGACTGGATTCGGGCCAAAACCCTGGATTTCAGGCCGAAAGCCTGAAACTCATGGCTTACAGGCCCCATTTCGGTTCAGGCCGAAAGCCTAACTTTCAGGGCCTACAGCCCCTGCGACGGTTCACACTGAAAATGGTAATAGCATTTTTAGCCTGAACCAAAGGGCCATTTTCGGTCGTTCATCAGAACGACCGGTCCTGAAACTCAGGCACCGAACCAGGGTTTTGGGAACAACCTATATCTAGATTGTTCCCACGCCTGCCTCAAGCAGGCTGCTGCACGCCAACCCCTGGCACACTTCGGCATTGGCAAGAGCTGCCTCCTCGGCCTGCTTGCCCTCTTACAGTCGGGATGCAGGCCGAGGAAGTACATAGGACTTCCCAGGCACTTCCGAGGTAGGCAGTTCGATAGTTGTAGTCTTCAGGATTCGGGAGCAGCACTCTGGAGGGAGTGCTGCGTTGTAGTAGAGTAGCGTTAGTTAGTAGTCTTCAGCGCTGGACGCAGTAGGTAGTTGTGGCCTTCGGCACTGGGCGCCATAGCTAGGTAGTGGTAGGGGTGATGGGCGGAGGCCAGTGATCACTTACCTGCAGAGGCGTTGCTCCAGCTTCGTCTTCGAGATACCTGCAGCACAGCGCCGACATTATAGGTTAGTACCTGGTTCGTAACAATGAGAGAGAGAGATTTCTCTTCTTCCTCTTCTCAGTCCCCCATCTTCTTCTTACCCTCTCAACTTCTGACTCCCCTGCAGTTGCAGACTACGAGAGAAGAGATACCGAGCTTGGTGACGTATGATCCAGACTCGACTTTTTGGGGGTTCAGATATGGCAACGAGGGACTATTTGGGATTGGTGACCTAGACTTGGTGTTAACGACATTCCCATCTTCTTCCCTCCTTTCGTCTGTTCCTTATCTCTTCGTCTGTGTATGTCTGGACCTGGCCCTTTCTTCCTGTGTGTAGCGCCAGGCTCCTTCACACTTCGTGATGGATACAATGCATGTTTAGTCTGAGTTCAAAAATTGATTGGGCTAGTTAGAGGTAGAATAGCATTCTGCTTTGTTACTCTGAACTACGTGAATGAGGTCAGCCCTGTCAGGTCAGTCTTTGTATCAAAGTCTTCCCTGTGCTCTTCAACATCTTTATGTATGAATGAGAATGTACATTGCTTGTCGAGATTTCACTCGTACCGCATTGTCTATTCAGTCCTTTTCATCACATTGCAGATTCTCAATTTATTACGTACATTGCATATATGTGCATGTAACAGTTGGTAT